AGGATCGCGGTTCAAAGCCAGCCCGGGCAGGAGAGACCGTGAGACTCCTATCTCCAATAAACCACCAGAAAACCGGAAGTGGCGCTGTAGCTCAAATGGTAGAGCGCTCGCCTTGAGCTGAAGAGCTGAGGGACAGCGCCCAGGCCCAGAGTTCAAGCCCCACAACCGACCAAAAAAAAAAAAAAGAAAAAAAAGAAACCAAAGAACAAAAAATTATAGTATACTACTCTGTGGTATGAGAAGTGGTAATATATATTTGCTTATATTTTTAATAAAACATAAGCAGTATAAACTATAAATTAATGAAAATAGTTACCCATAGGAATTAAAGATATAGATGTTTACTTTTTCTTCCTTCCTTGATACAGAATATCACTGTATAGCCCAGGCATGCCTCAAACTTGCTATGTAGCCCAAGTTATTTTGAATGCTATCTTCTTACTTTAGTTTCCCAAGTGAAATTATAAGCTTACTTTTTTAAAAACTTTGAATTTCCATTATGTAAAAGTTTTGCTACTCACAAAATTAAAGATAATAGGAAAAGCATATTCTAAAATTGGGTACACAGAACAAATTAACACAAATATATACCAAATTGAGACCTTATAGAAGATAATTTAAATAACTTTTAGGCAGGATTCTTTGCTTTTTTCCTTAGTGAAATATGACTATCAAATAGACCAACCAAAATATTGAATTTAATAGGTTTGTTTTGGTCATAGTGGGTATAGTAATGTTCAATTTATTTTCTTAGTAGTGAAAATGAGTTGGGAACCAAGGTTTTAGGGAGATTAGGGAAATAAAAACGCTGAGTCAAGTCAAAAAGAACCTGTAAATGTGAATTGGAGATAACAGTTTAAACTCGCTATTTTTAGAAATATTTCTTTGCTTTGTCTGCCAAAAATTTTTCCAAGCCCATGTAATTAATACTGGTATCTTGATTACACAATAACATTCTTTATTAAAAGAAACCAGAGTTCTTTGAGAAATGGTGAGTCCATTCACAAAAGTGAATCTGGAAGTTGTTTTTGTTTGTTTGTTTGATATACTTGGTTTTAACTCAGAGCTTGAAGTTTGCTAGGCAAGCACTCAAACACACTTGAGGTTATGTCTCCTGCCCTTTTTCTCTAGGTTTTTGTTTGTTTGTTTTTGTTGGACATGGGGCTTAAACTCTGGGCCTGGCTACTGTCCTAGTACTCTACCACTTTGAGCCACAGCGCCACTTCCAGCTTTTTCTGTTTATGTGGTGCTGAGGAATTGAATCCAGGACCTCATCCATGCAAGCACTCTTAACACTGAGCCACCTTCCCAGCCCTTCTCTAGGTATTTTGAGGTAGGGTTTTATTTTCTGCCTGGACATGCCTCCGGACCACAATCCACCTAGTTTAGGTTTCAGTCATAGCTAGGATTACAGGCTCATGCTACCATACCATTTCTTTCCATTGAAATAAAATCTTTCAAACTTTTTGTCCTAGACTACCCTAGAACTGTGAACCTCCCAATCTTAACCGTCATGTAGCTATGATAGCAGGCAAGCATGAACTCAAGGAGGAATCTCATGAATTTTCCAGGCCTGTATCCTAGCTACTCAGGAGATTTAGGAACACAGTTCTCAGCCAGCCTGGGTTGACAAATAGAAGAGATTCTTATCTCCAGTTAACCAGCAAAAAGCAAGAACTGGAGGTGTGACTCTACCAAGAGCACTAGCCATGAATGAATAAAAAGCCGAGTGAGAGAGTGCAAGGCCCTGAGTTGAAGTCCCAGTACACATAATACAAGAAAGAGGAGAAGTGGGGTGGAGGGAGAAAAAGTCTCATAAACTTTGCCTTGAACCAACAGTCCTGGATCTCAGTCTCAGAAATGACTAGGAGTCTAGTAGCAAGCCACAGACATGAACTGCCAATGCCTGACTAGGAAAAAACTTACCTTGATGAGATTCCTTCCCACTTGCCAAATTCAGGACAATTTGAGCATCAAAATAATGTTAAGTCGGGCGCTGGTGGCTCACGCCTATAATCCTAGCTACTCAGGAGGCTGAGGTCTGAGGATCGCAGTTCAAAGCCAGCCCGGGCAGGAGAGACCGTGAGACTCCTATCTCCAATAAACCACCAGAGAACCGGAAGTGGCGCTGTAGCTCAAGTGGTAGAGCGCTCGCCTTGAGCTGAAGAGCTGAGGGACAGTGCCCAGACCCAGAGTTCAAGCCCCATAGCCGACCAAAAAATAATAATAATAATAATGTTAAAAGCAGCTGAGAGTTAGTGGCTCAGTTAGAGTCCCTGCTTTGAAGCCTGGAATTCAAACTCTAATATTGTAAGACAGGAAAGAAATAATTTTAATAAAAAGATGGAAAGAATAGTCAGATGAAGCTGTATTAGGGATGAGCACCAGCTAACATACACAAGTATCACTGTTTTATAACCTCCAGAAAAATAGTTTATTTGGGCAAGATGAGAAATGGGCATTAAAACCAAAGGCTAGGGTTGAGAATGTGGCTTAGCGGTAGAGTGCTTGCCTAGCATGCATGAAGTCCTGGATTTGATTCCCCAGTACCACATACACAGAAAAAGTGGAAGTAGCACTGTGGCTCAAGTGGTAGAGTACTAGCCTTGAACAAAGGAAGCTCAAGGACAGTGCCCAGCCCAGCGGTCAAGTCTCAGGACTGGCATAAAAACAAATAAATTTTTAAAAAAACACAAAGGCGAGTGGAGCTGTGGCTTAAAGTGGTAGGATGCAAAGAGAACTTGGGGACAGAGCCCTAAGTTCAAGGCCCATGACTGCCAAAAAAAGGCTAAAAGTTACTATGAGACAGTGTATTCACACAATCTCTAATAATGACTATCCCTAGATTACTAATTAATTGCAAAGAAACCTTTATAGTAGAGAGATATGGCAGATACAAAGAAAGGTACAGTGTACTTAAACTCAGCATACTAAATAATGGGGCAAACTAATAGTATATGTTTCCCAATTTAGAACATAATGTCACTCTTGTAAAAAGTTGGAACTGCCAGGTGCCAGTGGCTCATACCTACCATCCTAGCTACTAAAGAGGCTACAATCTTGAAGATCCTGATTGATAGCCAGCACAGGCACACAAACCCAAGAGACCAGGACTCAAAAATCTTACCTGTGGCCACTTTTGCTCATTGGCTAGTGCTCTACCAACTAAGCCATACCTCCAACCCCAAATCCAAGAGACTCTTATGTCTTAGCAAAAAGCTAAAAGCAGAGCTGAGGATCAAGTGGTGGACCCTCCAGTCTTGAGCAAAAAAGCTAAGCAAAAGTACAAGGCTTTGAGTTCAAGTCCCAGTACTGGCACAAAAAAAAGTTTGACCTGAATCTGATCACAGAAAATAATCTGAAAAACCCAAGTTATAGTGCGTTCTCTTAGTTAGCAGAGCTGAAATCTTTTTTTATAGAGTGTAAGTGTCATGACAGACTAAAAACAATAAAAGAGTAGAGAGGGACTGGGAATGTGGCTTAGTGGTAGAGTGGCTAACATTCATGAGTCCCTGGGTTCAATTCCTTGGTACCACATAAACAAAAAATAAAATTTAAAAAAAAAGAAAGGGAGGTATAGGCTGTTCCATATTAGAAAAGGAAATAGAAATATGGCAACCACATGTAAAGTATGACTTTTGAGTTCATAAAGGACATTTGGGAGACAGTTGTGGAAATTCAAATATGGACAGTGTATTAGGTTATTGAATTTGTGTTATATTTATTGAGTATGATCATAGTATTTTGTAAGAAAATTTTCTCATTAATAAAATGAATACCAGGAAGTAGAAACATGCTTGTGGGGGATGGAAGGAAGCACAGGAATAGAGGGAGAAAGAGTGAGCAAATGTAGTCACCATATTCAATGACAATATGTAAAAATTGAACTACATAACTTGAGGGTAGGAATGAGAGGAGGGAAAATGGGGAGAACAGTAAAAGGGGTAGGTGACATTGATCAAGATGCATTGTTCTTATAACTTGAGTGCTCTATATAGTTTTTTTGTTGTTTTTTTTTTGTCGGTCGTGGGGCTTGAACTCTGGGCCTGGGCGTTGTCCCTCAGCTCTTCAACTCAAGGCGAGCGCTCTACCACTTGAGCTACAGTGCCACTTCCTGTTCTTATAACTTGAATTACAGAATTAAAACCTCTTTGTACAGCTACTTAATAATTTTTAAATGTTCTTGTACCTGTTCGAGTATTATAGTATTCAAATTGCTTTCAAAATGGCACAATTGTATATTGATTGAAAAAAAAAGACGATTATGGAAAATATTCATAACTAATGTGTCTTCCAGATATCCTGCAGAGTCTTAACCCCTCATTTGCCTCTTTTTAAAATTTTACATATGTTTCCCCCTTTATTGACAAAGGCTGCCAGTTCATTGTCTTAGACACACGCACACATTTACACTCTGCCACCAGCCTCTTTATACTCCTTAATTTATAATAAGCTAGGAGAAGTAGGATTGAATCAGATCTCCCCAGATCTGTTTTGTTTTTTGTTTTAGTGAGAAACTCAGGATTAAATTCAGGGCCTCATAAACCAGTCCTCAGATCTAGGTTGAATTTATAATAACATTGTTTTGTTGACTATTGAGCACCTCTAAGTGCCAGGCACTATGCAAGTTTTCCAAAGGTTTCTGCCCTCAAGGAGTTTATTTTACAGTAAGTGAGATAATTAGAAAATAAGCACATAAATATTAATGTACAAATTGTGATAGATACTGCTCAGGAAAATAGTGAATTACTATGAATTTGAATAGCATAGGAAATTGAGTGTAGATTTGATGATGGTCAAAAGTCACTTCTTGATGGTCTTGAGAGAAATTATTTGAATTTTATGAGTCAGCTTTCTTATATGTAAAAAAAAATTGAGGCTAGGAACTAAATATGCTAATATATAAAATGCCTGCTTCTTTCTTACACAGTACTTTTTTTCAAATATTTTATTTAGTTGATTTGCTAATGTTCCCTAACCTTGTCATTTTGGCTCTTTAGGGATCAGAATGGAATGCCTCCAACTTGGAGGATCTACAGAACCGAGGGTAAGCACACAGAAGAATTACTGACAATCCTATGTGAATGAAGTCTCTGTTAATCTTTATAGTTCTCATAAAACTAGTTTTGGTATGGTATGTAACTTCAGTCTTCATACTTGGTACCATGATTCTAAATAGATATAATTTATTTGGGCGGGGGGGAGCGGTCATGGGGCCTGAACTCTGGGCGCTGTCCCTCAGCTCTTCAGCTCAAGGCTAGTACTCTACCACTTGAGTCACAGCAACACTTCCAGCATTTTCTACTTATGTGGTGCTGAGGAATCAAATCCAGGACATCATGCATGCAAGCTAAGCACTCTACCACCGAGCCACCTTCCCAGCCCAAAACAGATAATAAAATTTAATATAAATATAATTTAATATAAATATAATTTAATAAAAATTCCAACTGCTAGCCAGGTGCCAGTGGCTCACGCCAGTAATCTTTGCTACCCAAGAGGCTGAGATCTGAGGATCACAGTTCAAAGTCAGGGGGCTGGGAAGGTGGCTCAGTGGTATAGCGCTTGCCTTGCATGCCTGAGGCCCTGGGTTCGATTCCTCAGCACCACATAAGCAAAAAGAAAAAAAGCCGGAAGTGGCGCTGTGGCTCAAGTGGTAGAGCGCTAGCCTTGAGCTGAAGAGCTGAGGGACAGCGCCCAGGCCCAGAGTTCAGGCCCCACGACCAGACCAAAAAAAAAAAAAAAAAAAGTGAGCCATAGCAGGAAAGTCCTTAAGACTCCTAACTCCAGTTAACTACCAGAAAACAGGAAGTGGCACTGTGGCTCAAGTGGTAGAGCCCTTACTGTAAGCTATAGAGCTCAAGGACAGCATCAGGCCCAAAGTTCAAGCCCCAGAACTGATCCCCCCCCAAAAAAAATTCCAACTGTTACATTCTCTCACTTTCCAAAAAGTTCACTTGTATTAATGGAAGATTTTTCATTTGTATTTATTTTTTGTTTATGTGATACCAAGGAATTGAACCCAGGGCTTCATGCATGCTAGGCAAGTACTCTACCACTAAGCCACATTCCCTGCCTAATGGAAGACAAATGTGCAGGCTCAAATAAGCCCTGAGATCAAACCCCAGAACCATAAAAAAAAAAAAAAAAAAAAAAAAAAATCCGCAAATGTGTACATTGTTGGTGCTCTTTAAAATCAAGTGTAGAGCCTAGGCGCTGGTGGCTCACGCCTGTAATCCTAGCTAGTCAGGAGGCTGAGATCTGAGGATCATGGTTCAAAGCCTGCCCGGGCAGGAAAGTCCGTGAGACTCTAATCTCCAATAAACCACTAGAAAACTGGAAGTGGCACTGTGGCTCAAGTAGTAGAGAGCTCACCTTGAGCTGAAGCGCTGAGGGACAGCGCCCAAGCCCAGAGTTCAAGCCCCATGACCAACCAAAAAAAAAAAAATCAAGTGTGGAAGCCAGGCATAGTAGCTGACACCTATAATCCTAACTGATAGAAAAGATCAATTTGAGGCCAGCATGGAAGGAAAAAAAGTTTGTGAGAACTCATCTTAACAGAAAGAAATGACATGTTAATGAGCACTATCCTAGCTATAACAGAAAGCATTAACAGAACAATCTAGACCAATTGGGTAAAATGTGAGATCCTATCTCACATTTGAGCTGATGGCTCAAACATAATCCTAGCTACTCAGGAGGCTGAGGATCACAGTTCAAAGCCAGCCAGAGCAGGAAAATCTGTAAGATTATCTCCAGTTAACCAGAAAAAAAGCAGTAAGTGGAGCCTTTATTCAGGTGATACAGTGGTGGCCTTGCACACAGAAGTTCAGGGACAGCATCTAGGCTCTGAGTTCAAGCTCAGGACAGGCACAAAAAAATATTATTGTTGTTTTTATTTTGGTGCCTGTGCTATCCCTGAGGTTTTTGTACTCAAGACAGCACTATTTCCAAAATTCTAATTAAACAGAGCAAAAAGAACTAGAGCTTGTCTAACAAGCACAAAGCCCTGAGTTCAGACTCTAGTACATATGTATGTATGTACGTACATACATACATATACATAGATATACATACATACATATACATACATACATACATACATACAAAAGGGTAGGATCTAGCAGTGTAGCTCAGTGACAGAGCACTTGCCAAATGTGTGAGTCCTTAGGTTTAATCCTCAATACTGCAAAAAAGGGGGAAAAATACATTGAACTACATATTTGAGGTTTACAGTTGTTCATTCAACATTTAATGAGTGTCTTTTGTGGATCAAGCATGGTACCAGTAAACCATTCTGAAGTAAAACTCACTTCTTGCCCTTTTATCCTTTTCTAGCTTTTTGAAGAGTAGGTTATGAATGTTAAATGGGTAAGCGTCTGAAATTGAAGAAAACTTGCCTTATATTAAGAATTTTGGGGCTGGGAAGGTGGCTCAGTGGTAGAGCTCTTGCCTTGCATGCATGAGGCCCTGGATTCGATTCCTCAGCACCATATAGCACAAAAGAAAAAAGCCGGAAGTGGCGCTGTGGCTCAAGTGGTAGAGTGCTAGCCTTGAGCTGAAATGCTGAGGGATAGCACCCAGACCCAGAGTTCAAGCCCCATGATCAACCCCCAAAAAAAAAAGAATATTAAAATTGAGTGAGCCAGGCACTTTAAAAAAAAAAAAGAATTTTGTTAAACTGTTTTCCATAACAATTTCACCATTCTACATTCCTACCATGTGCTTGCTTTTACTTTTGTTAGTGTCCTATTAATTGGCTTTGATGCTAAGTCAAAACATTAAATTCACACCCCAGAGAAACAAAAATTGTACACTTGGTCTTAACCACAGAGTTGGTTAGCCCTGGCTCTTCATTTTGTAGTCATTTTCAGAGATTGAATTTGTAGAACCCTACATTTGTTTGTGAAAAGGAAGCAGCTTCTACAAAGAAAAGCTAGTGAAACCATGTTTTAACAGTGAACTCTAGTGATTCTGAGTCTGCATAGCATTGGAAAAAAGATAACAAAGTAAATCAAAGGTTAAATTGAGGTGAATACAGTAATATATGCTAGAAGACATTTTTGATAGAGAAACCCTTTTCTGCAAGTATCTCAGTATGGGATAACCCTCCATTAATTTTGCTGCCATAGCAGCCAGGAATGCAGCCAGATAGAGCTGAAGGAATTTCAAGTCCAGCTCTCCTGACCCTCCCAGCCCTGGCCTCATTTGCCTTTCACAAAGTTAAAAGAGAGTAATAAAGCAAAGCCTAAAATTTGGCATTTAGGAAAATGGAAGAAATTTTTCCTTTTCTCTTTTTTTTTCTAGATATACATGTCAGTGGTCCAGTTTTATAGAAATAAATTCTAAGAAAATGTATTAATTTTAGTGACAGAAAGAAAAGTTGCTAGGTTATGGGTCCAAGGTTGATTCTTAGGAGTAAATATGAGGGCTATTTCCACAAGACTGTCAAAGACAAGTTGTATAACTATACATGTAAACTGAAAATGAAATGTTAAAAGTGGCAGATACAGTGCTAGAAATTGGATATAGCCTGAGTAGCAGAGAACATATTCTTCCCTTGGTTTCTTCACAGGGTGCGGTATATTTTGAATGTCACTCGAGAGATAGATAACTTCTTCCCAGGAGTCTTTGAGTATCATAACATCCGGGTATATGATGAAGAGGCAACTGATCTCCTGGCTTACTGGAATGATACTTACAAATTCATCTCTAAAGCAAAGTGAGTAATAACCCCACTCAGACATTCTGACCCTGTTCTTTAGACACCACATAGCTGAGCTAAAGGCATAGATAATTTAATGATGGTCCTAAGGAAAAAGGGGACTGAGATTTTATAATCCTAGGAATTTTTTTTGTCAGTCGTGGAGCTTGAACTATGATCTTCAGATCTCAGCCTCCTGAGTAGCTAGAATTACAGGCATAAGCCAAAGCCACCAGCACCTGGCCTTAGAATTTTTTTATGTGTGCCAGACCTAGAGCTTGAACTCAGGGCATAGGTGCTGTCCCTGAAACATTCTAATACTTGAGCCACAGCTCCATTTCCAGCTTTTTTTTTTTTTTTTTTTGTAATTAATTTGGAATAAGAGTCTCATGGATATTTCTGCCCTGGCTGGCTTCAAACCAGGATCCTCAGATCTCAGCCTCCTGAATAGCTAGGATTACAGACATGAGCCACCAGTGCCCAGAAATCCTAGGATTTTATAATCCTAGTGACCTAATACTTTTCCTTTAAGTAAATGAAATCTCTGGAGAAAGGTAACATCATGCTGACCTCATATATCCATTGGACACAAAATGTTAAAAATAGAATTATATTGTGACTAAAGAAATAGAAATGAGAGATAGAAGAAATTCTGAATGGAATTGTTAAGTTGCTATGGCAAGTATTTGTAAGTTATATAGCAGAAATTATTTGGGATATATAGAATACTGTATCTTCCTTTCTAAAGAAGAAACATTGAGCTTTGGAAATATTTTTCCAATTCTTTTTTTTTTTTTTTGTCGGTCAGGGGGCTTGAACTCTGGGCCTGGGCGCTGTCCTTTGCGCTCTTCAGCTCAAGGCGAGTGTGCTACCTCTTGAGCCACAGCGTCACTTTATTTTTCCAATTCTTTTATTATGATACACTAACAAAAATTTGTCTTAGTCCTTGAGGATTTCTTTGCCAGCCCTATTCATTCCTTCACTAGAAGAAACTATAGCCCAGGTGCCAGTGGCTCAGCCTGTAATTCTAGCTACTCAGGAGGTTGAGATCTGAGGATCATGGTTAAAAGCCAGCCCAGGCAGAAACCTCTGTGAGACTCTTATCTCCAATTAACCACCAGAAAACATAAATGGCACTGTAGCTCAAGTTGTAGAGCACTCGCCTTGAGCTGAAGAGCACAGGGACAGTGCCCAGTCCCAGAGTTTAAGCCCCAGGACTGACCAAAAAAAAAAGAAACTATAAATGAGTTTGTTAGCTGTGCCAGGTAAGACTAAATTCAAGCCATCCCTAGCAAATAAGAAACACTTAAGTATTTTAAATTCCTTCTTCAAGAATTATTCCACACTTCTCTTAAGGACCTTCATGATCAAAACATTCTTTTTTTTTTTTTTTTTTGGGTCTGGTCGTGGGGCCTGAACTCTGGGCCTGGGCGCTGTCCCTCAGCTCTTCAGCTCAAGATTAGTACTCTACCACTTGAACCACAGCGCCACTTCCGGCTTTTTTCTTTTCACTTATGTGGTGCTTAGGAATCGAACCCAGGGCCTCATGCATGCAAGGCAAGCACTCTACCACTGAGCCACCTTCCAAGCGCAACATTCTTCATTCTACTTAGTCTCCTGAATCCTTATACTCTAGCTTTGAGCCTATTTCTTTATTTTTTTTCTTATATTTTTTATTGTGAAAATCCATACAGAGGGGTTACAATTACATGGGCAAGGTAATGAGTACTTACCAAGCATTGTTGCCTCCTCCTTTGTTTCCCCTTCCCATCTCTTCCCATCTCCCCCCCCCCCCCCCCCCATACCCTACCCTCTTGAGTCTATTTCTTTAGGCTCTAGCCAACAATGGAAAGAGTGACTATACACACACACACACACACACACACACACACACACACACACACACACACACACACACACACACACACACACACACACACGAGGAGAAGAGCAGCAAACACTCTTACCATGTGAGTGAGCCATGCCTCTAACAAGTTTTTTTTTTTAATCAGTCATGGGGCTTGAACTCTGGGCCTGGGTGCTATTCCTGACCTGTTCAGCTCAAGGCTAGTGCTCTATCACTTGAGCTACAGCAGCACTTCGGTATTGTGGTGGTTAATTGGAGATAAGAGTCTCATGGACTTTCCTGCCCAGACTGGCTGATCCTGAGATCTTACCCTCCTGAGTAGCTAGGATTACAGGCATGAGCTACCAGAGCCCGGCTACCCCAAGTATTTTTGTATTCTTTTTTTGTGCTGGTACTGGAGCATGAACTCAGAGCCTATGCACTGTCCTTGAGCTTTTTTTTGCTCAAGGCTAGTATTACTACTTGAGCCACAGCACAGCACTCCACTTCTGGCTTTTTGATGGTTCATTGCAAAAGGAGTCTCATAGACTTTCCTGCCCAAGCTGGCTTCAGACTGTGATACTCAGGTCTCAACCCCATGAGTAGCTAGCGTTACAGAAGTGAGCCACTACCTGGCTCAGTTTTTATATTCTTAAGGCATATAATATTTTCTAAAATCCAAAGGAGCAACTGCTGTTGTCATCCTTTACAAATGATTACAGACTATGAAGATCAGATTCTGAGAAGTAAAATAACAAGTGGTGAAGATAGAACTTAAACCAAAACTAGGTCCATTTTCAGAGTTCATAACAATACAGAAATAGTCTGTTCCATAAAGAAAGAGGACTAGAAAGACTAAACATGTTATCAGTTTCAGCTAAAGATGTTAGAGTTCAAAGCAAGGTCTCAGTTAATTCCAGCCGAGATTAGGAAGACACATGAGGCACCCAGGGTACAAATGGAGGAATTCTTTCTGGGACTTCTGCAAGTGTGGGGATCAGTGTCTTGGAGGAAGTATCTCCTTAAATACTGCTCTTGGGGCACCACCTGTGTCTCATGTTAGTCAGGACAATCCTTTGGGGAAGAGGGTTCTGAAACTATAGAGTTGGGTTAGATAAACACTGATTTAGATCCTTTATTATGTAAGTTAAAAGCTACTCACTTAAAATATCTAGTTAAAAATATGTCTCAGATGTTTTCATGAGAATGGATTTCACAGTTGTATTTTACTTAGGGCTAAATTTGAGCACCCTCCATACCTGCAGGCATAGACCTAAAATTCAATACTTTTAATTTGTCAGAGTTCAGTAGCAACTATTGAACACATGATTACACAGTCGTGCCATAAGTAAAACAAGTATTTCCTAGTCGTTTGGTATAATCTAAAAAGAGAGATATTGTCCAACCTTAACATACCGAAATTTTGCACATAATTGAGTATAGGATATACTCAGTATACTAGGAGTATAGGATAGGTAGGAGGCTTCCTTCCCTCTAAAACTGTTTCACTTATTCTGGACTATTCTCTGCATTCCTGTTGCATTTTAACAAGTAACCTTAGGCCCCTTGATTGATTTTTAACTCTATAATGTGTGTCTGTCTCTAAAAGTAGGATTATAAGCTTCTGAAAGGAAGTTTGTGTTCCATCACTTAGCCAATATGTGAATAAGAGTATTTAAATCCTACTCTGCTAATATGTGTATGTATTTTTCTGTTTTTATTTATTTATTACCAGTCCTGGCACTTGAACTCTGGGCCTGGACACTGTCCCTGAGATCCTTTAGCTCAAGCTAGCTTTGTACCACTTGAGCCACAGCGCCACTTCCAGCTTTTTCTGTGATTAATTGGAGATAAGAATCTCGTGGCCTTTCCTGCCTGGGCTGGCTTCAAACCGTGATCCTCAGATCTCAGCCTCCTAAGTAGCTAGGATTACAGGCATGAACCACTGGTGCCTGGCTGTATATGTATTTTTTATTTAATTTGAATAACTAAAGGATTCTAGAACCTTTGTACACTAGCAAAGTATCTAGGAATCTTTCCTCAAGATTTTTAAATGTGGGGCTGGGAAGGTGGCTCAGTGGTAGAGCGCTTGCCTTGCATGCTCAAGGCCCTGGGTTCGATTCCTCAGCACCACATAAGCAAAAAGAAAAAAGCCGGAAGTGGTGCTGTGGCTCAAGTGGTAGAGCGCTAGCCTTGAGCTGAAGAGCTGAGGGACAATGCCCAGTCCCAGAGTTCAGGGCCCACGACCGGACCCAAAAAAAAAAAAAGATTTTTAAATGTTTCTATTAAATAACTCAAAGATCTAATCAGGAAATCTATACCTTTGTTCATAGACATTTAACCAAATATTAAATCAAATATTTGAAATCTTACTACTATGTTATTTAGAATTAACATACTGAATAATGTTTATATCCAAGGTAATTAGCTCAGCAAAGTTGTGTTTGTTTGCTAATAGAGCTCTGTGGTAGTCTTGTTTTTATTTCTTTCCATTAAAAAAAAAAGCTGGACTCATGTTTATAATCCTTGCTACTCAGGAGACTGAGATCTGAGGATCACAGTTTCCAGTCAGCCCAGACAGACAAATCTGAGAGATTCTTACCTCTGACAAACCAGAAAAAGCCAGAAGTGGAAGTGTGGCTCAAAGAGTAAAGTGGCACCCTTGAGCCTTTAAGCCAAGCAAGAGCATGAGGCTTGGAGTTCAAGCCCCAGTACTGGCATACCAAAAAAAGGTGGGGTGGGGAGCCTGGATTATAGCTCACTGGTAGAGCATGTGATATATCATGTGTTCAGTTCCCTGGGTTCCATGGCCAGTCTCTAGACAAGACATGGCTTGTAGGGTTGTGAAAAGTAATGTTCAGGGCTGTGTCTAAATAGAAAATAAGGTTGGTTTCATTTGGTTTGTGTTGGTTCTTTTCTCTAGAGAAAAAATCCTTACTGGAATTTTAACTACAAACAACGCTTAACATTTGTTGGTTCTTTTTGTGTGTAAATGCTAGTCCTGGGGCTCAAATTCTGGGCTTGGACTCTGTCCTTGAGCTTTTGTGCACAAAGCTAGTGTTCTGTGATTTGAGCCACAGCTCAGCTTCTGGCTTTTTGGTGACTCATTGGAGATTTCCTGCCCGGACTGGCTTCGAACCACAGTCCTCAGATCTCAGTCTCCCACATAGATAGGATTACAGGCATGAGCCACTTGATGAAACAGCTCTAACCTTTGAATAAATAAGATGAATCACTACCATACCTATAACCCAGGAAACCACCAGCCTTGAAATATGCCCTAGAACTGTGAGAGAACTGGCCTCCACCACACACAAAATGAGCCCAGGTCTCTAAATGCAAAATGTTCTCTTCTATACTCTGTGACCTTTAGTACATTAACATTGGTAGGTCTCACTGAGACCTACCTTTTAGAGTAAAATCTGTGTTATGTTTGCATCTCAGCACTTTGTACATAATTTTATATATAGTAAATAGTAAATCTTCATTAAATGAATTAAAGAGACTTAATGTTAAAGAGTACACTTAGAATTGCCTACCTTTCTGTCACATTTGCACCTGTGTATGTGTATGTACTCATGTATGTATTCATAGGTGTACATGAATGTATTAGAATAGGGCATAGTATAGCAAGAAAATACATGGACAGAATAGGAGACCTGGGAAAATACTGAAACCAGATTTTAAAATATACTCTCTATTGTTCTTCACTTTACCTCAATCCCCAAATTTCTCCTAGGAAACATGGATCTAAATGCCTTGTGCACTGCAAGATGGGAGTGAGTCGCTCAGCCTCCACTGTGATTGCTTATGCAATGAAGGAGTATGGCTGGAATTTGGACAGAGCCTATGACTATGTGAAGGAAAGACGAACGGTGACCAAGCCCAACCCCAGCTTCATGAGGCAACTGGAAGAGTATCAGGGGATCTTGCTGGCAAGGTGTGTTCTCACTGCCTCTCTAATTCTTACTCCTATAGGCTCCATAAGGCAAAATGAAGCGTCCTTCTCTGAAGCCAGTTCTGAGCCAAATGTGAATGTGGTATTTTTTAACTTGGACTACATTCTGTCAGTCAAATTTTCCAAAATTAAGTATAAGCATTTAAGATTAGCATGGAAGATCTAGACATTTAATACTTTAGGTTGATGTTAGGTTGGTATTGACTAAAGAATAGAAATACTATATTGGGGCTGGGAAGTTGGCTCAGTGGTAGAGCGCTTGCCTTGCATGCCTGAGGCCCTGGGTTCGATTCCTCAGCACCATATAAGCAAAAAGAAAAAAAGCCGGAAGTGGCGCTGTGGCTCAAGTAGTAGAGCACTAGCCTTGAGCTGAAGAGCTGAGGGACATTGCTCAGGCCCAGAGTTCAGGCCCCACGACCGGACCCCAAAAAAATAAAAAGAATAGAAATACTATTTTCTTATTTCAGTTCTCCAACTAGGTACAAATTTTGTGTGTGTGTGTGTGTGTGCGCACGCGCGCGCGCGTGCGTGTGCATATGCATATGCATGCATGTGTGGATGCACACACCACTCCTAGGGCTTGAACTTAGGGCCTGGGCACTATCTCTGAGTTTCTTTTTGCTCAATGATGGAACTCTAATTACTTGACCCACAGCTCCACTTCTGGTTAATTGGAGATAAGAATCTCACAAACTTTCCTGCCTGGGCTGGCTTTTTTTTTTTTTTTTTTTTTTTTGATCCGGTCATGGGGCATGAACTCTGGGCCTGGGCGCTGTCCCTCATCTCTTCAGCTCAAGGCTAGCACTCTACCACTTGAGCCATAGCACCACTTCCCACTTTTTTCTTTTTTTTGCTTATGTGTTGCTGAGGAATCAAACCCAGGGCCTCATGCATGCAAGGCAAGCGCTCTACCACTGAGCCACCTTCCCAGCCCTAGGCTGGCTTTTAACCGAAATCCTCATATCTCAGCCTCCTGAGTAGCTTGGATTACAAGCATGAGCCACTAGCACCCAGCTCAACAAAGTGCACATTTTAATAAACATTTCTCAACATATTATAATCCTGTAAACAATTGCCTTATCGAAATGAATAAAGTTACTCCTAAGGTAATGCCAAGCTAAGCTTAACATTAATGCTTGGGAAAGAAATTCCTATTTTTACTTTGGTATTTTTTCACTGAGCCCTCTGCAGTAATTTTGATCATGTGACAAATGTCTGTAACCTATTTGAGGTATTTGTAAACCTGTTTTTCCCCAGAAATAGCTCTTTCTTGTATTTTTTTCTTTTTTTATCCTTTAATCAAATTACACACACACACATATATGCATGCTTTGCAAAAGTATAGGAAATTGCAAGGAGAAAAATAGTTTATGAACTCAGTGCCTACAGATATTATCTTACCTATTTCTCCATGTTTTACTTTATGACATATTTTTCCACAAAAAACACTTCAGCCTGGCTCTCTGGCCCAATATTAGGTCTTGAATATCTTCCCATATCAATAAGAGACAGCTATTGTTAATAATAATAAGTAATTTTACTACCTCACTACCCCTTTGAAGGTGAAAACCAATTTCAGCTGCTCTTGGGAACAAGCATTCGATATAAAATAACTTGAGGATACATTTCTTGAGGTGCCACATGCTGAATTTCTTTGGATTACTAGTTTTTTGCTTTCTTTTTTCCATGTGGGCCTGTTCTAGGTGGTAGTGCTATGAGGAAGGCACAGCTGTCAAGCAATTGGAACTGATGCCAGGGTTTGACTTTGTGAGTCTCATGACTTGGTTTTGACTGTCAAATCTGAGCTGTTTCTCCATAACCCCCAAAGTATTGTGAAAATGTGACCACAACCTAGCATGGTGGTTTCCACTAAAAACCCCTCCCATTCAGCATTTGGCATGATTTCATCTGAGCTGTTCTGTTAGGAGCCTGGGAAAATATTCAAGCCTCCTTTTTAAAAGAACTTATGTCTTTGGAGCCAGATTTTGATGATATTTTTATATCTTATCAGAAGGTAGGACACAGAAGTTCCTTTGGACACAAGAAAGAGACATGTAAGAGTTTGAAGGGACATAAATATTTCCCAGACACACACGACAGAGGATGTTAGGCAATGTCCTCACGTGACCCACTGAGAGGAAGGATACTATGTGTCCTGCCAAATTCAGTATTTATCCTGGAATTCCAGACTACTGCAAGCTGTTGGGTTTTGTTTTATTGTTTTTAAAGCATATGTGGTTTTTCTTAAGACATTAAATAAATTTCAGAAATACCTTAGATGAGGTTAGGCAGGGCAACACAAACCAGAAAATTACTCTCTTCCTCTGTCATTTCCCTTTTTTTTTTGGTTTGTTTGTTTTGTTCAACCTTAACCTCCTAGGCTTGATTCATAAGGAAACACACGTTCTGAGAGAGAAAACTGCAGAATTTGAGTCAGTAGCTGTAGTTCCCATTCCTAGTTCACCCCCTTGCTGCAACCTTGGGAATTATTTCACATTTCTCATCCTCTCCTGACCTGCCTCTCTGGGTTGTGAATAAATGTGTATAAATGTCACTATGTATTATTAAGGGTTGATTCTCATCGTCTCCTTTCTCTATGCCATTTATTTCCTCTTTGATCCCAAAAACTACCTCACACAACAAACTGACTAACTCTGTAGAATATAGAGTGAGAAGTGTTCCTAAAATTTCTTATATTGTGATGTTGTGCCTAGCTCTTAAGTACTGGAATTCAGTGTAAGGATATAACTTAGGCTACTTTTAGCTGCAAGTAATAGAATACCTCCATCTTTCAGTATCTCAACATGAAATAGCAGTCTCAGCCAGGTGCTGGTGGCTCACGCCTGTAATCCTAGCTAGTCAGGAGGTGAGATCTGAGGATCGCGGTTCAAAGCCAGCCCAGGCAGGAAAGTCTGTGAGACTCTTATCTCCAATTAACCACCAGAAAACTGGAAGTGGTGCTGTGGCTCAAGGGGTAGAGCGCTAATCTTGAGCTGAAGAGCTCAGGGACAGCGCCCAGGCCTAGAGTTCAGGCCCCATGACTGACCAAAAAAAAAAAAAAAAGTCTCAGGTTAGGATTACTTGAAGAAGTTTTTTTGTTTTTTTACTTGAAGAGTTTTATGTGGCAAAATCAAAGGACTTGTATTGGCAGGTGTTGGGTAATAGCCCGCAGGCCCAATGAAGAAGGGAGAATTTACTTTAACCTGAAGGAGACTCTTGCAAGTGAAAAGTACTTTTAGAGACTAGCAGACATTCAATCAAAGACATTCATCATAAACTACAGATCCTTATTCACAGGTACAAGTGGATATAAGCATAAGACCCTATTCAAAAAATAAGCAAAGCAGCTGGGCACCAGTGGCTCATGCCTGTAATCCTAGCTACTCAAGTGGCTGAGATCTGAGAGTCTTGGTTTGAAGCCAGCCCAGGCAAGAAAAGTTCATGAGACTCTTATCGCAAATTAACCACCAATAATCTGGAAGTGGATCTGTGGCCCAAGTGGTAGAGAGCAAAAGAGCTCAGGGACAGCACGCAGACCCTGAGTTCAAGCCCCAGGATTTGCACCAAAAAAAAATAAAATAAAATTTACTAGTGGTAGAATGCCTACCTAGCAAGCACAAGATCTGAATTCAAACTTGAGTACCACAAAACAAAAAGGGAATGGGGGAGGAAAGAGGAAGAACAAAGGAACGAGAATCCCCAGACTCCTGGCTTTGCAATATAGGCAACCAGGAAAGAAATGACCTTAGAAAAATCCCAGTTGTGTTTGTAAATAAATTTCATATTCTTGTCCAGAGGTTTGGATCTTAAATTTCATATTATCTCCTGGGACACATGTAGTAGTTTACTCAAAGAGGCACACAAGCTCTGATTCTAGCACTCTCAAGCTCCATAGTAATCAAGATTGTACTGGAGGGGGAAGCTCTCTGTATGAAGACATTAACTGAGGAAGAAAATTTTACATAGTAACACCAGATTCCTATAGTAATTTATGAATCAATTATAGTCTTATTCAAAATGTGAATAAGACTTTGTCAAGTAGACAACTCTCTGAAATAAAGGACTTTTTGCATCTTTCAAAATATCATTGATAGCTTAGAGAAGGCTGAATTCATAGTCTCCTTTAAACTTAAAAAGTAAGAAGATACTAATAAAAAACTAATCTACTCATATCTGATTTTATTTTTTTCTAGTGTTTGTTTTGTGTGTGCCTGTGCTCATGTAAGAGAGAGAGAAGGTGTTTGTGTTGCTGGGGCTTAAACCTAGAGACTCATCTTTGCTAGTTGGGCAAGTGCTCTACCAGGAAGAGCACTTTGAGCTATGCCTAAAGCCCATATTTTGTTGTTGTTTGTTTTTCTTTCTGAGTCAGGATCCCTGTACTATCTTTGCCTGGGCTATCCTTGAATTAGATGTCCTCTGCCTCCACCTCCTAAGTAATTTGTTTTTGTTTTTATACTTTAGAGGTGGGAGCAAGACCTGAGGAGGTGGGTGAGTGTGTATTGAAACTCTCCATTGAACTGCTAGCAGCCCTGTTTGTTATTCTGCACTCTGATTATGCAGGTATCTGGCAGGTTTATGTTCTATCAGACAGGTTCAGATTTCAGGTATGCCATGTGTCTGTGGTATTCAGTTCCAGTGTATAGGGGACAAGGAAGAAAAACTGAGTAGTAGCCAGAGAAAATTTGTGTCACATGTCCCTGGAAATGCCATTGTTGATCTTTGAAGGCCCCTGTCATATAGACAGATTGTCTCTTATCCTGACTTTCTAGTGGAGATCCTGAGATGTAATTAGCTCAGTATCAGTACACAGTGGTTAGCCAGCAGCCTAGAATCTGAAGGTGAAAGGACATGGATTCCTGATCAGGTGATGAGCCAAGCCCAATTGAAATTTAAAGGGAGTTTCTTAAAAGCATTTCAGCATCTAGAACCATGCACAGCATAGTGAAAATGTTCCATCAGTGCTTTTTTCTTCCTTTCTACAG